AGTGCTCTCTTTGTGTGTGTGTGTGTGTGTGTGTGTGTGTGTGTGTGTGTGTGTGTGTGTCTGCTCATAGGGTTGGTTTGAATGCAAATAGAGAAACCGAGATTTGTTCTAGTCTGCTTTAGACTAGTCTACTTTGATCTATTCTGTTCCGTTCCATTCCATTTTCCCCCTAGCTTATTATTTTCTATTCTGTTTGACTCTACTGTACTCCTATTCTATCTGTACTTAAGTCCATTTATTCTATTATGTTTTTAGTCATCTATGCTAATCTGGTCTATTATTTTCTACGTGTGTGTGTGTGTGTGTGTGTGTGTGTGTGTGTGTGCGTAATCTAGGCTAATCTGGTCTATTAATTTCGATTCTATAATGTTTTACTCTACTGTACTACTCCTATCCATCTAGTCTAATTATTTTCCATTCTATTGCACTGAAATATTTTCTATTCTATTTTATTCGATTATTTTATATTTCTATTATTTCATATTGTGGTCTAGTATAGTGTAGTCTGGTCATCAAATCTATAATTTTCTGCTCTGGTTTATTTCATTCCAGTCTACTGCTGTTTTCTATGAGTCTATTTTCTGTTCTGCTGCACTGAGTTTCTTCTAATCTCTTCTATTTTATTGTATTCTGTCCTATTCTACTCTATTCTGGTCAAGCCATTTAGTCTATTATTTTCTGCTCTGTTCTATTTAATTTTATTCTACTCTGATTCTCTCCATTTATTCTAGACTGTTAATTTATGTTCTACTGCATTGCAGTCTTCTATTCTATTCTATGCATCTAGTCTATTTTAAACTCTGGATTTTTTTATTCCACTCTGCTACTGTTTTCTCTATCTAGTCTAGACTACTTTGTTCAGTTGCGCTGAAGTTTTTCCAATATGCTCTGTTCTATTTTATTCTACTCTTCTCCTATTCTCTCCATCTAGGCTAGACTGGCATCTGTTCTACTGCACTGAAGTTCTGCATTCTACTCTACTCTACTCTACTCCTATTCTATTCTATTCAACCTCACTGTTCTATTATACTCCACTGTACTCATCTGTTCTCACCATCTATTCTAGACTGATATTTTCTGTTGTACTGCAGTGCTTCTATTATATTCTATTCAGCTCTAGGGGGTTTATTCCACTTTACTACTGTTTCTATCTCCATCTAGGCTGGATTGTCATTTTCCGTTGTATTGCGTTGTTCTGTATTCTATTCTATTATTTTCTAGTGAGTGTCTGGGCTGTGGTCGATGTCATTCTTTTATTGAGGTAACATGTCATCAGCTGCAGTTTTAGTAAACGAGATGACCGTAAAATGAAAGAGCTCCTTTAACAGACTTCGACTCTCATTGAATTTGCACCGTTCTCCTGGGCTTGAGCTCTTCAGGGACTGAATCTCAGCTCAGTGTTCAGTAGGGCAGTAGGCGATGCTCTCTGCGTGTTTGTGTGTGTGCGTGTGTGTGTGTGTGTGTGTGTGAGAGAGAGAACGGTAGCAGACTGTAATGCTGTTATTTCCTCAGCTCATGTAGGGAATTATCAGCGTGTGTGTGTCGAGGGCTCTTGGGGACGGCGCTCGCGTGCTTTTTATTTCAATATGTATCTGTTTTTTTTTGCCACCAGTGCCACTAACTGTGCCATGACGCATTGGCTAATGCATTTACCCTCATGAGTAACCTCATACATGCTCAGGAGGGTTCACACACGCCAGGTGCACATGTCGCCGCACGTCCCCTGGGGTTACTAAAGACACAGAAACACTTGTGACCTTATATACACACACACACACA